TAGGTGCCTGAACACATGGAACATGTATTTGGATATAAGAGGGAAGAAGAGCGGTGTAGCAGAAAGTAGGAAATTTAGGGCTCTGAATACCAAACCCAGAAGATGAAAACTTCATTGTGTTATCTAGGGAGGCTCATTCTCAGATCTCACAAAGTTTATGATCTTACTAACTAGGCCCTACAAAAGAATTGGTTATTTTTGATGTATGATCAAATATTATTAAAAAGAGTCATTCTAGAGTTTAACAAAGAAGTTTTAACAATATATAGGCTTTTCATTTTTACAGGTATTGGCATTGAAATCACAGCTTCTCCAAAGTCATAGATAGATTAGATAGATGATAGATAGATAGATAGATTATCATCAGTAGCAAAGAAAGGACTAGAATTGAGGGACCCCAAATTCTGTCTCCTGTGTTTCTCACTCTGTGCTGCTTTTCCTCCCAACAGAGCATTGGTCATCACTGTAGTCACTTTTTAAAGAGAATAGTTTCAGAGTTATAAGGAATAAGAATAAAAAAAAAAAAATGAATAAAAGCAGTACCATTTTAACCTTTTCAAGTTGCCAGGAGAAAGAGTGGGAAAGAATATTTACTTTTTCCAAAATATAATAAAAGTTTAATTAGGTTAAGGAGGATGAGAAAAGATGAGAGCAGGAAGCTATTTGCTCTTTCAAAATATAGATGGGCTGCCTTGAGCTCTTTAGTTTTTACCATATCAGGGTTTACTAGTGCATAATTACAGGTTCTTGCCAAATGTCATTGATCCATACTTTTTGTTCTAATCTGAGTTGATCTTATAGTGTGATCTTATAGTGATCTTATAGTGTAGAGGATGTCTCTAGCAAACAGGAGAAACAGAAGAAGACAGATTTTTAAGATGGGTTTTAATCCAAATTGATAGTAAACTCAGTTTATTTTGCTTACTGTTTTTGCTTTTATCTCAATTTTGTTTATAATAATAAGAACAAGAACATCATAAGATTTATGTACAAAAGCTACTTTTAGGCAATTTAGATCTCTGATTATTTTCTTTAGCAATGCCAAAACATGAAAGCATGGTATATAACACTGGAAACATTCAATAATATAATTATTGAAATATTCCTGGTTTCCATTAGATTTCATGGCTTTAAAGCATTTGTCTTGTTTAGAGCAAGAGTTCTAAATGATTGGGTTGCTTTGGACAGAAAGAACAGTTTGGTGTTGGAGATTATTGCTGAATCATTGTTATATTTGATGTTTGTAGTGTGAGCAAGTATCATGGTGACAAGTTTAATGTATTTCCAGGCAAGAAGATACTGAATGCTTCCTAATTAAGCATGAATCTCCTGCTAGGACATTTTTTGATATATTGATTATACAAGTATGACTCTTTTAAAGTTGCATAGTCAGTGGGAAGTGTGGATATGGTCATGTTACCTCTTTTTACTGTTTCCCAAGTGTCTGGCTACTGTGTAAACATGCTGTTTGAAACCTACACAGTCATATTTATATTTTCCTATCTTTAGGGTTCAGCATTGCAAAGCAGAGAAATTCATGGTTCTGATTCACAGGGTTTACTGTTTTGTTATAATGTTCAAATAAAGATCTGCTAGAGAATTTTCTTGTAAAAGATAAAAGTCCACATTCATACTATCGAGGTCACTACTGAACTCACTGCCTTCAGTACAAAAGCACAGAGATGCCATCTAGCAGCAGCCCTCAGAAATTTCCCCATGGAAGTAGTCCTTTCCCTATAAAACTGAACAATAATTGCCTTCCTACAAGCTTTCAGTTTTTAGAATTTTACTTACTGAATGTTATTTGGCATATTGTCCATAATCCAGATACTCCGTTACAAATGAAATTAATTGATATCTCTTAAAATAGGCAAAGTGATATATCCCTGAGTTTTTCTAAAAGGAACTGTTAACTTGTTAATTATACTTTAATTAAGAAAACATAATCCAAATAATTTTCCTGAGCGGAAAATTAGCAATCTGTCTATACAAAAGTATAAATAATTAATTAGCAGAGAATTTTCTTCCTTTGTTCCCAAAACATACTAATCTTGCCAATTTTCTGATATATACTAAATGAGAGAAAAGAAAGTCAGTGCATGCTGAAAGTAAGTTCACCCTACTAACAATGAAACTCCCACTTTTTATTTTTAATTTAAAAACAAAATTGGTTCTTAAGTAACTTATCTTACCATAAGATGGCGATACTTAAGCATTTTATAAAATGTCATATAAAATCTATAAGCCTCAGTCATAGGGAAAAAAAGCCATTGTAAACATAAACATTAATGGTCTTCCATGAAATAGAATGTTAGAAGGCACTGTTAGAAAACCTTTTTGTCTTCAGGTAAATTAATATGCAAGAAGTGCTCTCTAAGATTTAGATACCCAATAGTTGATACAGATGAAATTCTATACCTTAAAAAAAAATCAATTCAATTTTAAGAGCTCTCCTATTTTCCCAGTTTCTGTGTATCCATGTGTGATTATATATATATGTATTTATACACATATATATTTGTTTGCAATAAATATAAAGTAACAATATAGAATAATACTTAAACAAATTTAATTAGAAATTTGATTATGACATATATCAATCATAACATATTAGTATGTAAAAAAAGAAATTGGTTAGAATTTCTGTTCAAGTCACATCACTTAAATCATTGCTTAGTTTTCTAAAAACTGTCTTTTTTGTACTATATTATTGAGGTTTTAATTCCAATTTCACCATACATATTTTGCTTTATGAATTCTGATTTTTTTAAACTCTAAACCCTAAATTCATTGTTTGTAACCTAACTGACAATTATTTCGAGAAAACATTGATGCCATTTATAATATTCTGAGTGATCAAAAATAGTTTGATTAAATATAAAAGAGTAGCTTCTATTCACCTTTTCAAAAGTAATATTTTGTCTACAATTACAAAAACTTTTTACAACGTTAAAATTACTTGCTCTGAACATTTTAATATTCTCTGTAATATCATCTGTGGTATAGCACAAAATACTATCTTTTAAAAAAAATACATTTTGTTCTTTGCACACTGTATTGCAGTATCTAGAAGCTGAGAAGGACAGTTGGAAAAGTTAATGCATGCCCTCCCTGGGTCATTCAGCTCCACTGTACATCCACAGTTCATTCTGAAGCAAGTAGGAAGTTTCATAGCATTGAATATACAGAAATGAACTCATCAAAACTAGAAAAGATCATATTGACCAAGCATAGGTTGTTTACTTGAGAAATTTAACTCTATATTTAATAAAAGATTATGTATATATTTAATTTTGAAAAGGGTACAATCAAGAGATTTATGCATTAATGATATCAGACCAATCACATCAACATACAATTGTTAGTGAAGCTCTACATTTCTGAATTCATTTTAAAGAATGACAAATAAAACTCACTTTAAGTCAAGTGACTTTTTCTGAGGTAACTCAGTGATTAGCTTTGCTTTTTAAAAATGTTTTACTAAAAATATTTCAAATGAGATATATAATAGAATGTGTTCAAAACTTTTAACCAATATCATATAATGAGAGTGGCAGTGGATAGAATATATCACTACAGGATGCAGAGAAAAAAAGAAAAAACAAGATTTTAAAAATATAAAAACAAAATCAACACTTTTGCTCAGGTTTAAAATGCTTTAAAGCTACCACTTACTATATAAAATATGGCATTAAGATCATTAAGATAGCATTCATACACTGTGTGAAGCTTTCACAATCACAATATCAGTACAACCATAGCTTTAAAATAAAATGATTTTATTCTTATCAAGTCTCCCTAAACACGAAAGTGTATAGAAATAATTACAAGTATATATGACATGGTTGTAAGTTTTCAGTATATGCTATGTTAGGCCCATAAATATCACAACCACAGTATTATATTATGCTTGATTACATCTTAGTTCTATTTAATTATGAAAGGAAAGTTAATTTCTCTATACTACATAGATGATGTAAAGCTTTAAAAATAACTTTACGATATTTTTAAATACAGTTTTTATTGGTTTGATAGCATGGTATCATTTCCCTATAGTGTCAGATTGCTATTGACCAATTAAATGAGTAAAATAATAAGTAAATAAATTGTATCTCTTACTCTTTTTGACCAGATGCCTTATCTCTTACTCCCTATAATTATGATTTTCTTAGAATGATGAAGCTCTCGAATTACCTCTTTGTCATCACTACTTTTCTCATACCTCGTTAAAAATATTTCTCCATATTTTCCTGTCTTTTTATCAGAGGAGCTTAGCATTCACTTTAATTGACAGTACTGGATAATTTTCAGAGTTCAACAGCTATGAGATAACTCATCCTTCCTAATGTCCTCCTTAGTTCGATAGGGTTCTCACTTCCTGTTTCTTAACACTACTAATGAGAACTTCTTCAGTGTCCCCTAATTTCCTTAACAAAAAGAAAGAAGAAAACACAAGCCCCTTTCACCAACGCCTCTCAGCCATGGCAGAAAGTGTAGCTCCGCTGCTCTGCCGTGTGTGTTACAAGCAGCATCCCAAATGTTTTGGACACGAACCGCAGCACGTCTGCGATGGGAGTATTATTGACCAGGATCAGCTGGAAAACGCTCTCCTGCTTTCAACAAAGAAACGCTTCACCATCTCCTAATACATGTCTATAAATTGCATCGTTTCAACTGCAAACTCCCTTGCATTACCGCCCGACTTCAGAAGAGAACATTAAGCAGTTGGGTACGGAATCAGATAAATTCCCCCGAGGGCCGCATTGCCCGCTGCCCATACACATTATATTTTCTCCTGGTCCCTCCCCCTCACCCCAGGACTCTACCTTGAGGAGCTATTCCTAGGTAGTTCACCTTGTTATCTTCTAAACAGTGCGGATACTACAGGCACCTGGAAGAGCTGTCTCCCGTGCCGTTTTTGGCATATTTATTTGCATTTTCGGCCGGTTTGTTACATATTGCACATTTATGTCAAACAAGAGTCAAAATATTGTACATACCTTGGAAGGATCTAATCCAGCAAGCAAAGACAGCAGCAGGAGGTTGAGAAGGTTGGATGTAGCCTGCATTCTGATCTGGGTTTTGCCCCTCTATTCTCTGTTATGCAGCCACTCTACTCTCCCTGCAGAGATCTTTCCCTCGTCGGTCGCACTTTCCGCCTGCGGTCGGAGCAGAGTGGAGGCGGCGGCGGCGGCGGCAGCAGCAACAGCAGCAGCGGCAGCAGCGGCAGCAGCGGCAGCCGCGCTGGGGGCGATCATTCCGCAGGCATTCTCGGAACGCGGAGTCCGGGAGCTCCCGAGGGCGGGTCGAGCTGCAGTGGCGCTGGCCAAGGTGCTGAAGTGCCTCCAAGCCGCGCACCCAGCCTACCCTCTCCCGGCTGCTATCTACCCAGCCCACCTCAAAAGTTTAGACCTAAGAAAAAGATAAAAGGAGTGACTGCTGAGAGGGGTGTGAAGACCTGGACAACGGATATGACATCACTACAGCTCACGGGGGTTTCGGGGTATGTTTTGCGGGGCATTTGTTAACCAAACAAAGATTGACTCTCATGTTCCAGTTCAGCATTTGCTGGCAACTGGAGCTGCAGAGAAGTAAAGAGTCAGCTAGACACAGGATTATGAAACAAACAGTGCACTGAAACCTTCTGCTGTCATTGACAGAGGGCTTGATATCGTATTTAGTGTTTTAAACAAAGTTTGCCGTGCAGACTATCAGTGCATGTTTCCTATCCAAGGCACACAATTTTTAACCATTACAGATGTTTATGGTAATTAATAGATGTTTCTAGCCATTTATGAATAGCCCATTGAAATAATATTTTTTGGTTAGCCATTAATGGGTATTTATCCATCTAAGGCTCTTGGTCATCTGAAAATACTATGCATAAATAAATTAAGAAGCTTATTTTTCCTTTGGTTATAAATAGTATTTTCCACTACTGCTCTCCCAACTGAAATATCTCCCCTCATAAACATGGCCATACCCAGAAATGTAGTTTTCCTGTCAGTCTGACTTGTGTTTACACTTGAGGAAGAATCCAGTGATATATGGACAGTGGGATGGAAAAAGTGATTATTGGTAAGCTTCCAAATACATTTGTATTCTAGAGCTCAAGAAAAGAGGCCCAACAGTTGTTTGACAAGTGCAAAGAAAGGGTAAATGGCAAACTAACTCTCTCTCATTCACCCCACATCATTTAATTATACTTGAGCAAAGTCATTTTTTTGAAGCTAGAAAAAGCAAGTGTTCTCAGTAATATAAAAAGGTGGGATGGAGTTGGCAACCACTATGAAACACCCCTCTCACACAATTATGCCTTTAATGATCTCATCTTCTGTTGATGTTTCTAGAAATGATGTTTCCCACAGATTAAAATATGCAAACTGGCGCTATGGACATTGCTTCCTTTTACTTCCACATTAAAAAGATGACTTGTTTGAGATATCAGACACATACTGTTGTATAAAATCTCCACCAATCTTTCACTAAAAATGCTCCATTTTTTAATATAAGAAAATATCAATTAGGATTTAAATACTTTTGTAAGTTATAGTTCCCAAGAATTTACATCATATTGCATCTGTTTTTATCCTGATGTTATAAAGATGTATGCAAGTGTGTAGGATTACTTGAGGTCTTTTTTTTCTACAAAACATAAATGACATGAAGTAAACTAATTCTGAAAATTTTTTAAGGGATGGATTATGTATAAAAAAGAGATTTCAGGATAATATAAAGAAAGTGGAATTACTTAGCATGCTGTTAATTTAATGATATCCCTAGCAACCATAGTTACCTTTAGAAATTCCATTATTATCTAGCAGAAATAGAAAATAAAAAGTCCTTTTGAGGTAATAGATAAAACCACAGAGTTGTGCCTGACACTCTTTGGAGTAACTTCCTAGAGGATATTTGTAACTAACTTTCTTTTTTCTCTTTTTACATTTGTTTCTTAACCTAAACTTTTTCTATCTGTCTATATCCATCTGTTTATCTATCAGTGTAGGATAAAATCAGCATAATTTTTCAATGATTCATAAATAAAAATTATAAAAAAATTTAATTCAGTTCCCATTTTAAATCTTTCATATGACTACACAGTTCGAAAATGAAGTTGCATGTGGTAGCTGAATGATTATAATAGTGCACTTTTTTTTTTTTTTTTTTTGAGACAGTCTGACTCTGTTCCCTGGGCTAGAGTGCCATGGCATCAGCCTAGCTCACAGCAACCTCAAACTCCTGGGCTCAAGTGATCCTTCTGCCTCAGCCTCCCGAGTAGCTGGGACTACAGGCATGCGCCACCATGCCTGGCTAATTTTTTCTATATATTTTTAGTGTTCAGATAATTTCTTTCTATTTTTTTTAGTAGAGACGGGGTCTCGCTCTTGCTCAGGCTGGTCTCAAACTGCTGAGCTCAAACAATCCGCTGGCCTCGGCCTCATAGAGTGCTAGGATTACAGGCGTGAGCCACCCCACCCAGCCATAATAGTGCACTTTTATTATCCATTCTCTAAATACAACATTTCAAAAACTTATTTGTATTCCCACATGCTTTTTTCTCTTCCCAAGTTGTTTTCCACCAACCTATTTATACTTCCACCTCTCAACAGGCAGTACAGCATATTTGTTTGAGTGGAAGGAAGCTGTATTAACACACAAAAAGTAATATGAAAACACAATCATACCAGTGTTATCACTTCAAGATCAACAGATACTGTTCTAATGGAATAATGTGGGTTTTGGGAAATAAAATTATTCTGATCTCAACGATGTCTCACAATATTGGTGATTGGAATAAAACTCTTATGCAGGCACATTTTTTTCTTTAATTCTCCATTTTTCTATATTTTATGACATTGGAATATTATGTATAACAAGAAGTTAATAAGAAGACAAATTCTATGAAACCTTGCCAGAAAAATGTGATGGAAGAAGATGATAATATTTAGAGATCTAAAGTAAGTAATGTATGGTAATTATGTTACAGATGAAAATGGATGATCTTAGCATACTTACAACACACTTGCCGTAAAAAAAGCTTAGTCATTTGTAGAGAACAATCAAGTTCAGTAATATATCAAAGCTGTATTAAACGGAACAACAAAAGGTGTAAACTAAACAATACAAATCCACCAATACTCTACTATTTCCTCTATCTCTCTTTGAAAATAGGACAATAAAATTGCAACGTTTCTTTTAAATATGGTTATGACTATTACTTTTAGTTATTTATTTTGTAGTAAAGTCCTCTTGTGATATATTTCCATGCAATCAACTTGACAAAAGGTCATATTATATATTACTGTGCATAGCAATCAATAGAGCATTTCTCCTTGCAAGGAAGAAAGTCCACGAAGTTCTTTGTATCTTGTATCTTACACTAGCTAGTCAGAAGAGTTCCACTAAAGGTAAGAAATGGTGTATCTATCTGCTTTTATTTTCAGTGTCACTTCAAATTGGCAACTGTAACTTATAACAAAATTATGAAATGTGATTCATAGCATAGATTTAGAAATTTTGCATTCTTCAATGAATGCATTTGAGAAAATATTTGACATTTATGTGTCTAGTCAAAGTTAGCCTTCTATATTAGTATTACTCTGAATTTTATAAGGCATTATAGGAATTTTAGCCAGTATTATCTACAGAGGTATGCATAAAAATAAGCTTAAATGGATATGTATACATGCACAACACATAGAACAAATAATGCAAATTTTTAAAAAACATTTACATGCAATATTACAAAAGTAAGTTCTTAATTATATAGTGGATTATATTCTTAGCTGAATTTTTTATGTGTTTTAGTCTTATTTAAATAAGAGACTGAATGGTATATGGTTCACCCTTGAACAATGTGAAGACCCCTATGCAGTTGAAAATACACATATAATTTTTTTTGATCAAGAGAGAAATCAAGAAATATGTATAACTTTTAACAAACCCATAACTTAACTACCAATAGCCTACTGTTGACAGGAAGCCTTTCCAATAACATAAACTGTTGATTAACACATATTTTGTATGTTATATGCATTGTATACTATATTCTTATAATAAAGATAGAGAAAAGAAAATGTTATTAAGAAAATCATAAAGAAGAGAAAATATACTTATTATTCATTAAATGAAAGTGGTTTATCATAAAGGTTTTCATGCTTATCATCTTCATGTTGAGTAGACTGAGGAGGAAGAGGAAGAGAAATGCGTCATGGGTAGCAAAGGTGGAAGAGATAGAGGAGAAGGAAAGGAAGGTAGGAGAGGCAGGTACTCTTGGTATAACTTGACAGAAATACATTGCAATTTCTGTCTGACTTTTTTGCTTTTTCATTTCACTAAAAATGTCTCCATATAATAGTAACTTTTTTACATTGTTTGCTTTAGTTCAGTGCCCATATCATACAAAGATCTCCATTCTAAAAGAAATCAAAACCAATTCTGAATAATTGGAATACTTTTCCCAGTTTGCCGAATGTCAATTTGCTTTCTGGCGCTGCTGCTTCTACATCTTCTTCCTCATTGTCTGGCACTGGTTTGGAAGCAGTCATCTCCATCAAGCCATCTTAGGTTAATTTCTCTGATGTGGTGCCTATTAGATCTTGAATTTCTCCAAGATCCATAACTTCAAATCCTCGCCCCTTTTTTGCCATTTTCACAATCTCTTTCATGCTTTTCTTCATTCTCTCTGTTGTAACTCCTGTGAAGTCATACACAACATCTGGAAACAGTTTTCTCCAACAGAAATTTATTGTTTTTGGCTTGAAATCTTTCATAGATTTTCTATAATAATGACGGTGTAATCCTTCTAGACTTTCATGAAATTCTCCCTATCAGAGTTCTCTTCCATAGTGTTGATAATCCATTCTATAATGTGTGTAATGAGCCATAAAAGTCTGTATGATACCCTGAACTAGGGGCTGAGTTACAGACACTGTGTTTGGGAGCAAGTAGACCACTTGAATGCCTTTTGGTGTTGGACTCATGGAGATCTATGTAACCAGGGGCATTGTTCAATATCAAAAGAACTTTAAAAGACAGTCATTTACTAGCAAGGTACTTCCTGACTTCAGGGAAAAAGTATTGATGGAATCTATCCAGATAAAGGGTTCTCATTGTCCAGGCCTTCTTTTTGTACAAGCAGAAGACTGGCAACTGGTGTTTACCTTTTCCCTTCAAGACTCAAGAGTTAGCAGCTTGATGAATAAGGTCAGTCCTAATCATGAACCCAACTGTATTTGCACAAAACAGTAGAGTTAGCCTATTCCTTCCTGCCTAACATCCTGGTACTCCCTCCTCTTCCTTACTAATAAGGAAGGGGAGTCCTTTGTGGCATTTCCCCCCCAGAATAGGGCACTTTTGTCTGCTTTAAAAATTGGTTCAGGAAGCTATCCTTCCTTTCTTTTCAATGATTTTCTTAATGGTGTCTGGGAACCTGTCTTCTGCCTCTTGGTCAGCATAAGCTGCTTCTCCTGTTATCTTGATAT